CTTAATTAATAATTTTATGTCATGGCAAACCAAAAGAACTTTCTTAGGAGTTTTCTAAATTCGTTAAGTATAGACTAGATACAATCATACACACACTAACAAATAGTCCTGACCTAGGGAAAGGTACTTGACTTCTCGTTCAGTTAGCATGTTGAGGTCAAACTTGTTGATGAGGGATGAAATTTTAAACCACTTGATTGTCCTAATTTAGACTTTTCCATAGCATTTCATTTTTCTATTGCTCATTATCCATTGCTTGAGGATAAGTAATAACTTAAGTTTGGGGGTGTGATACCTCCGTAAAAAGACTATATTTTAGGTCTTTGTACTTAAGTTATTGATTGTATAAAAGCCATTGACATAGCATTTTAGCTACATTTAGTTGTATTTAAGACATATTTGCATGTGGTGGATAAATTTTACAGAGGCAACGTTTATTTGACTAAATTGATGCCGCTGAGGAGAAAGGTTGTTTGATGGTTGTGATGATGCAGGATATGACTGAGGAAGAATTTATTTGCTGAGATAAATTAATTTGCTAGGGCCAGTGGAATAGAAGACGACGATAGTGAGGAATAAATTTTCTTGCCAAGGCAAGTTTTATCTCACCAGCCTGACGCAGTACGAGACAAAATTGCTAACGTCACATGGTCATCTTTCTAATGCACCTCACGTGAACCCCTGCCCATGTTAAGAATTTAGGACCACTTCCAGTTTCCATTTTATTCACACAATGGGTATGAAACCAAGGGTATTTAGTGAATTTCCAAGGGAACTAAACCTTAGAAATTCTCACTATAAATATCTCATTATACCTCTCTAGGAAGGGATAGAGGGGAGAAAAAAATACCTGCAAAGAAAGGCTTGGAGAAAGGTGGCTGCAACACCACTTTTCCACCGTCCCCCTCTACTCTGTCCTTGGTATCCTCCATAGCTAGGCTTCTTCGGAGTAGCGGCCAGGCCCTCAAGAAAGGCCGTCGTGCTAGAGCAGTCATGGTGGTGGTCTAATGTCACGTCAGAGCTCTGTTATGGGAGTTTTTCTTCCCTTGTTCTTTATTTTCTATTTTTCTAAGGGCTTGTACCTAATGAATATTTTTGGGATGATGTTAACAACACCATAAACTGTTTTATTTGGTGTTGGAAATGCTTGGATGACACTATAAGAGCTTTTGAGAGATTGCCTGGTGCCACGACAAAACATCCCTAGTCTTTGTAAGAGCTTTTGAGAGATTTCCATTTTTCTAGGAGTTGATACCTAATATCGAGAGAGTTAGGTTAGATCAATGTAAACAAGGGAACTAATCCAAGATAGTGAGGTTCTAATCCACCTTAGAGATAAGGAGAGGATTTCATGCGACTAAGAAGGATAAATGCTTGAGTAGATACGCTGGCGCTACTGTTTACGCTGATGAGTATTGTCGTAGCAACAGTTTGACAAACCAAGGGCTGTAATTTATGTTGAGTAGTATTGTCATAGCATATCAGGTTCCGTGTTAGAGATACTCTTAGGAACACTTTAGTAAATCATGTCGGGCAACATAGGCATATCATACTAGATCATCATAGCCATAGAATAATTTCTCGCCGTAGCAAATCCAACCCAAGTGCTATGTTAGAAGTCTGATTGTGTGAGGTTGCCAGTCTATTTATAGAGTTTTGACAACTTTAGCCTTGATAGCTTTTATTTGTTTACCTTTGCATATTTTTCTTGCCACGATAAATTTTCTACTCACTTCACTTTACAACTTTTCTTGCTTCGGCGAACTTTTTCCATCTGTTCATACCATTTGCCAAATATTTTCCTTGTTTATATCATTAGACTTAGATACTTAGGATTAGTTAGTGATGCCTATTCCTAGTTGTAGCAATCTTTTAAAAGCCCTCCAATCTATGTGGAGACGATACTCACTTACTATTATATTACTTGCATCGATTGTGTATATATGCACAGATTTACATGCCACAACATACACATTTACACGCGATCATTTGGTGAGTTTTTTCCAATTGTGTATCGTGAGAGACTTAGAGTTAGTAAAGTTAGATATTTATTTAATATAAAAATATAATTATTTATTAAAAATATTAATGTCTTAAAAAATCTAAAAAGTTGGAAAGTGCAAAGGCGCTACGCCCAACGCCTAAAGCCCGTAGGCGCACGCCTCCTGTAAATCGCCTCGCTCAACCCAGGTGTGCGCCACCTTCATCACTCGGTTGCGCCTCGTGCCTTTTAAAACCCAATTTGTAACCTTTTCCACTTTCTTTTGAATCGTTAAGTTATTCACTCCCTCCCTTACATGCTCAGGGAAATTAGGACACTTGGTTGTATTCCTAAATCCTCTAACCAAGTGTTGTTTCATCCGAAATACTCATCCCTTACAATCTTTTTTTTTTACAAAAAATTGCAAGTCCAATTGTTCTTATTCGTCAACTCTGGCGTTCCATATTTTCTTTCTGGATCCGTAGTGACCGATGATCCGATTGAAGTTCTCGACGACTCTATTATTTAATTTTTAACAACCTAAAATTCATATATGAAACATTTTATTAGAAATCAAACCAAACAAACAGTCTATTAAAATTTAAAAATCAAACCAAACAGTAACTTAGGATGTTAAATGACATTATTTGCATTTTCATTCATGTCATTCTTTTAGTATTTGATTAAAATTAAGTACATATACCAACTATAAGCATGATAAGTAATGAATTAGTTGAATCGATTGATTTATTAGGTTATTATTTACAGTCTGAATTATGTTTAAGTGACCTAAAACTTTGTTTTTACAATCAGTGGCCTAAAACTTTTATATATAAAGAATAATATCAAAGTACATAAAATAAAATTCGCATCCCATTAATAGCTAATAAAAGTAAAAGATGATACAAATTCATTACACATATACATCATTTGTCTAAAAAGACAGAACAAAACAAAATGTAACTCATATTCATTCGTTGATACAAATTCACATACCCCATAATGCTTTGGCAAACCCATATCTAAATTCTCAATGAAATGTAACAAATGTCACGGATAAGTGAGGAGGAAAAAGACAGAACAAAAGTAGGAGGAGCCGAGGAGGAGAGAAGGAGAATTACCTGGTTACCTGGTTGGCAGTGGCTGTTACGACGACTGGTGAAGAAGAAGATCACAGTGGTGAAGAAGGGCGTGCGATGGAGAGAGAATGTTGGGGATTTTGTTTTGTTTGGTGAGTTTTTTTTTTTTTCAATTGTCTATCGTGAGTAGAAGTGTACAAAAAATTCGAATATCCGATTTTGCGTAAAAAATATCCGAAACCGGATTTTGGAAAAACCGGTTTTTTTTAAACCGGATCGGATATTTTAAAACCGGATAGTATAACCGGTTTGGGAAAAAATTGGACGACCGGATTTTTTACCGGATTAAAAACCGGTTTGAAAAAAACCAGATAAAAAACTGGTTTTTTATCCTGAAAACAATCCGGTCTGGGGTTTAAAAAATTAGATGACTGGATTTTTTACCGGATTAAAAACCGGTTTTTTTAAAAAATCGATTTTTTTCAAACCGAAACAGGTTATATTGGTTACATCATCCGGCCTTCTAAACTGGTTATGATCCGAACCGATTTTTTTATAAATCGATTTTTTGGCTTAGTGAAAAAACTGGATCGATTTTTATCCGATCCGAATCAAATTTAAATCCAGCTATGTGCATCTCTAATCGTGAGAGAGTGAGATTTAGTAAAGTTAGGTTATTTTTTAATATTAAAATATAATTATTTATTAAAAATATTAATATCTTTAAAAAATCTAAAAATTTGGAAAGTGCAAAGGCGCGCCCGACACCTAAAGCCCGTGGACATGCACCTCCCACCGCCTCTTGTAAATCGCCTCGCCTCAACCCAGGCAGGCACCACCTTCTTTGCATGGCTGCACCTCTCGCCCAAGGCGCTCCTTTTAAAACCCAAAAACCCACCAACCTATTAAATTTCCTATGCATACCCTCATCCAAAGTTGCACCAACCTAGCCTCTGCACCTGTCTGCCCTTATACCAGATTACCCTTGGATTGGAAGAGTAAATTGATGAACAATGAATATGGAACGTAGGTAAACCATCTCCACTATAGCTTTTATTTTTTATTTTAAAATTAGTGAACAATGAAGACGAACGGTAATTTCATCGTCTTTGATTTTTTAATTAAAATAATAGAGAAATAGTGAAAATGGTGTGCAATAAATACAACGTACAATTCAATGTTCAAACTAAAATACATCAAAATCAATAATTATCATGTTAGTATCAATATCTAAATAAAAAAATTAATGTAATTAAAAATTAAGAATAAAACTTTTTATTTAATTTTATTATAGGAATAAAACGATCCCTTAATTAAAAAAACAACAACATAGTTTAAAAAGTGTGAATTTTAATATAATGTAACGACAAAACAATTATTAAGCTAAAATAAAAACGTATTATGTGAAAAATGCTTCAAACGTTTAGTCTTATAAGGATAAGAGACCTTAACGTTTCGTTAAATAATTATTTTAGCATTTATTCTTTTATTTTTAGAGTATTTTGGTATTTAATATTTTATTTTAAGATAAAACATTTATGTATTGATCATTTGTTAACTAATGATTTTTGTCTATATAAAAAAAATTTATCCTAAAATGAAACGTTAGTGCTCAAAACGATAAAAGAAATACTAAAATAATTTTATTAAATTAATCACTGATATTCAATCTATTTACCGACTAATCTAAGTTCGGGTACTGCAGAGGCAAAGGCGACCTTCCCAACCCAATTTACTCTATTCGTAAACGTCAGGATTTAAACCTCTAACCTTGCTTAAGGGACCTAGTGTATCATCCCACTATACTAATTGATTGTTGGTACTAAAATCATTTTTTTAAACAAACATTAAGAGATTTTTTTTTGTCATTATACCAAAAAAAAACCATAACCTAACATTAAGAATGTAGTGGAGAGGCCTCTGTATATTTGTTTCACACAAACACTACCGACCTCTTCGCCTAAATTCCAGATTTTTTTCCTTCTTTGTTCATTAAAAATAAAATCTCAGAAAATGTTCTCACAACACAACCCATAAATCAGGTGAATACTAATTCTAACTAATTTACTCCTACTCTTTGTCCTTCTCATTCCTTTGGTTTTTCCTCGATCTGGGGTTTGTTCCTTCCCCCTCTATTTTAGCTTCTTTTTTTTGGGGTAATTTTTTCACGTCTCAATATATGAAGTTTGGATTTTTAATACGATTATGAGATACCATTGATGTTAATGGTTATGGGTTCAATTTACTTTTGGTTAATTTTGTTAAACCCAATGATCTTTTGTTCTTGATGTTATCTTTAGGGTTATATTTTATGAAATTTGATGGAATTTTAACGTTGCTGGTGTTGTAATTGTTGTAACTTGGGTTTCACTGTGGAAATCTTTTAGCTCTGGCTTAAGCAATAATCTGTGTTGTGAGTTATATTAATGTGAATTATAGAGATAAAGAATTATCTATGTTTGAGTTATAGTAATGTGGATTATAAAGCTTGATAAGTATTATATAGAGGAGAAAAATCATGCCAATTATCCTGTTGGTGCTTTTTCATGTTGTTGAAGTGTTAATATTGTCTATCAAGTGCTTTAAATTGAGGTCCCGATAGGAAGGAAAGGTAACTGAGTTGGCCAGAAGTAGTCTTTTGAATAATAGATTTATGTTATGCGTGTCGATGTAAGTTGAATTTATGTGAGCTCTCATATCATTGATTTAAGTTATGCTTGTTGATGCTAGTTGAATTTAGAGGCTATTGATATGATTGGAACTTTTTCAGTATAATAAGCAAGTTGTTGAAATGAAAAAAATGGTGTTTTCGACTTGTTTTAAATGAATTGTTTAGGACAGACCTGTTTGCTTTAAATAATGCTTTAGTTTCGAAAGAGACTAGAATAGCTTCTTATGTTATCGTTTAGGTTAAATGCATTGTTGCATGTTGCTGTTTTAGTTTTCAATTTTCAATGATATGGACAACTTGCCACTTCTTGCACGTTCTGATCCATAGATGCAGTTGGAGCTTAAAAACTTAGTTTTGTCTCTTTCACAGGAATCTTTCGGTGGCTAGTTCCTTTAGACCTGTTGTTGATATACAGTTACTGCAATTTGCACGAGTAAACTGTCATTCATCTTTGATGGTCATTTTGCAATCAGAAAATGCCATGTGAAGAAGTGTTGAAGGTCGTTTTTCCTTTCTTAGATGGCACGGATCATGCGACTTGCATGGCAGTATGTAAGCAATGGAGACACAGCTAGAGATGATTACATTTGGAAATGTGTATGTGCGAAGAGATGGCCTTCGGTTTGCAAGCGGCCTAGCCCACCTACTGCAACCTACTACAAATTGTATCGAACCTTTTATAAACGGAAGCATCAAAGAACTCTCCTCCCTCAAAGGCTTTCCTTCAATGATCTCGACTTCTTCACCGACATCTGGACTGAAGATAAATTGATTTTCTCTGAAGTTGTCCGTGGCCCTGTCCTCCGGAATGGATTCAAGATCCCACATATTGAGTACAAGTTGACCTTACCTGTTGAGCCGAGGTTTGATCTTCCTTGGAGCCAGACTACGAGTGTTTCGGTTCTTGTCGAACGAACTGACTCCAATAAGGTTGCCCGCATAGTGAATAAATCACTGTTTGATTATATAGACCGTACAGCTTCTAGGGCTCTTGCTTTCGACCAATGTTTTTAAAACCGGACCTTGAACCGGTGAAAGTATTGATTCAACCGGGTTCAACCGGATATTATATAAAATAATATTTTTTTAAAATTTTACATAATATTCAAAGCAATATTAATATATATATATATATAACACTTTTTTTAAGTTTACAATATTAAAAGGTATAAAAATATCACAAGTCATAACATATATAAGTTAAAAAAACATAAAATCAAGTGAAACAAAATGATTCAAATCAATTACAATATAATATTTAAGGTAAAACATATTAAATAATAAATATAATTATATAACTATAATAAAAAAATAAATTTGGGGCTGAAAAAAATCATAACAAACGATGTCGTTTGGTTTAATTTTTTTTTAAAAACAATCTCACATGGCTAAGAAACATAGAATAGCATCTCAAAAGTCTAAAGAGAAAATATGAGAACAAAATAATCTCACATGGCTAAGAAACATAGAAGAGCATCTCAACTTACTTTTATAAATACTAGAGGTAATTTGACATTCAAAATCATGGAGTCTTTTGGTGAGCACAGAGCGAACTATTCTTTCGCTTCAATTGAGCTCGAATTTCAGGCTTTAATCGAGCTTCTAATTTTTTTTGAGTTCGAGCCTTTTTGAGTTCAAGTTTCAATATTATATTTCGAGTTCATGTTGAACTTGATACTTTTTAGCTCGTTGGTTTTTGAGTCGAGTTGAGCTTACTTTTAAAGTTTTCGAGTTCGAGTCGAGCTCAGCAGTACTCGAGTTTGACTTGGCTCGTTTAACAAATGACGTTGTTTGGTTTAATTTTTTTTTAAAGAAAAAAAGAGAATCGGCGGTTCACACTGGTTTTGTCGATTTTCAGCCGGTTCACACCGGTTTTGCCGATTCTACCGGTTCTTTACTGGTTTTGTGTTTATCTGGTTTTGGGAGTTAACCGGACTAGATAGGCCACTGGTTCACGGTTCAACCGGCCGGTCCGGTCCGATTTTAATAACACTGCTTTTGACTACCTCAACTTGTCTCCCTACTATCCTTTCATTTCGGGGATCCGGGCATGGATCTCTTTGCTTTTCATGTAACACGGAAATCACGGTATCATTGATGTCATCGAAATGGATTTTTGTGATGCTGCAAATTCTGAAGAAGAGGTGTGGCTATTAGACATGCTCGACTGGAATGGCGGAAGCTTGGTAGCTCGGCTCGAACATGTTGGGTGCAAAGAATTTGAACTCCTATGCATTCATATATCAAATTCGTCTATGTTCATAAGCTTGTTCAAAACTATTTTATTCTTTATAATCAATAAATGATAATCGATTTTGTCTTATTTTATGATTTACTTTCATTTTTATCCTTACAGATATAAACCCTAAATCATCATTATTTTACAACTAAAAACTAATTTTTCTACAATTTCTCCCTTCATATTTAAAAAGCAAAAACAATGTCAAGCGGATTTCACTTCCTCACTTCAGATGTACTACGTTTACAAGATTGTGTTACTTTTGAAGGGTAACGGTCACTTTCGAAATTACACCAGTCTAGATGAAATTGTTTTTAGATAGTGAATTTTATTACAATACAATAAATATATCATTTTTCTTCTATTATTATTCTCATCATTATTTATGATAGTTATTATTAATATTTTTATTTTAAAGCAATTATTTTTACTAACAATTTAGAAGTAATTTCTCTACTGTTGTGAAATACGTTTGGGTCACCGTATGAATCTAAACCTTGTTTCAACTTGTTGAAATTTCCTTTTTGTAAAAACCAAGGTAATTTAGTGTGTCAAATAACTCTCAACAAGTCTAGGGAAACAGGAAACTGTTACCGATTTAAAATTATGGGAAAATTATATAATTTTTTTATTGTACTTTACCCTCTCTCATATTTTATTTATTGTACTTTTAATTTATTAATTTATTCATTGAATTTTTGAATTGTTCCTATTTTAGGTACTCTAAATTATTTTATTATTATTTTGGTATGACATAAAATTTCTATTATTGTTAAAATATAAATAATAGTTTAAAATAAATAATAAAATGATATTTTATTATTATTAAATTTAAAAATATTTAAAATAATCATCGCCCCCCATTGCCCACCGTCGACCTTCGAAACTGGCAATCGTTCGATCCCAAATTTCATGGGTCGTTTCGTCTCGACCCCTTAAGTCCGAATCTGGTAGTTGTTTCTCCGAAAAATGTCCTAAAACTCGTAACTTCTATTGAAACATTTCAATTTCCTCACTTTTGATCTTTTATTCGTTGACTTCGGAGCATGTTCTGACAAAATGGAGGTCGGACTCAGACTAAGGGTATCGAGGTGAATCAACCCATAAAATCTAAGACCGGACGGCCACCATCTACAGTGGTCGACGGCAATCGACATTTCAATTTTCTCATTTTTGAACAAATTCAGAGCATGTTCCGAAAAATAGAGGTCAAATTCGGACTCAGGGGGTCGAGACGAGTTGGCCAATAAAATCTGGGACCGAACGACCATCATCTACGACCTTCAACGATAGTGTTCAACGTCAGTAAACACAGACGACCACCTTTTGTTTTTATTTTATATTTTAAATTATTTTAGTATTAAATAATAATAAAAAATGTCACATCATAGGAAAATAATAATAAAATAATTCAGAATGATCAAAACATGAGTAATTCGAAAGTTAAGTGAATCAATTGAAGAAATTAAAAGTATAATTAGTGAAATAAGAGATATAATAAAATTTGTGTATTTTACTCTAACAGTATTCGGTGGTATGAGACTTTATCTCCCTCAATTATTAGTTGTGTTATTTAACTGTATTTCTTTGTAAAAAAAAACTTTATTTGTTTCTTATATTTAAAATTATAAATTAATTATGTGAATAAAAAAGGTATCTAGAAATATATTTTAAAATATCACATGCTTAAGTGTTTAGAGATTATTTTCAAATGTAACATAAAGATTTCATGTGAAAAATGTATATGTAGTTTCATACTGTCGGAACCGTCTTTCGGTTGGGCCCGTAATTGGGCTTCGACTTGGATTAAATGCTTTAGGAGTCGCTACCGATCATTTATTTTAAAACAAATTGGTTGATCAGATACCTTATTTCTTACCTGATCTGCGTCTTACCAAAGATGTGTCGGATTCGGGAGTCGGTTTCAGTCAAGGAAGGGTTAGCACCCTTGAACTTCCCTTTCGGTACTACGTAATTTTCAGTTGTCTTAATTAAGAAAGTTGTAAATTTAAATTAAAAGGTAATATGACAATCCAAATTACTTACCTCTAACGATTTTGAAAATGTACCCTTAAAGAATCAAGAAAAGCGTTAGAAAAACAAAAGTGATGAAGATCAATTGAAAATAAGGAAAATGAAATAAAGAAGAGAAAATAAATAAATAAATAATAACATATAAAATAAAGACAAAAGGTAAACAACATAATTAATATGGAGATAGTAAAAATGAAAGGAATAAAAATAAAGACAAAATAGAATAAGATGAATAAAGAAAAAATATAAATAAATAAAATAAGAAAAATAAATCAATAAATAAAGAAAATAAAAATAAAATAAATAAACCAAAACGAGGAAAAATATAAAAAGAAATAAAATATACATATATATATATATATATATATATATATATATATATATATATTAGCTTGTAAACTAAAAACTAAATAAAAAATATTAAGAAATAAAATATATATATATATATAATATAACATTTAATAAAATAAAAAAATAGTAAAAATAATAATAATACATGTATATACAATAAAATATAAGAAATAAAATAATAATAATAATAATATGAAGGAATAATATCAAATATATATATAAATATTATAATGTAATATTAAATGAAAATAAAAAAGAAAATTTAAATTTAAAAAAGGACTAAATTGTAAAGAAAAAAGAAATCGAGTGACAAATTAAAAGAGAATCAGGTTCAAAAATTGATTTCAGGGTCAAAATATAAGTTTTCAAAGTAGGATGGTCCAGAAGTGCAATTTTCCCTTTTTAAAAGCCAAAACATGCAGATCCTCATGTATCTGGGTCAGGTCGACGGGTTGAATTTGGGCTTACTATATAACTTAAAATAAATTAAAAGCCTTCATTTGTTTCATTTTGAAAACCAGAGCCTTCCCCTTCTCTCGTTTTGTTCTGGCTTGTTCATTTGAATGATGAACACGTCGCGTGTTTCTAGAAAATCGGTGGTGCCGCCGGCCGCTGGTCATCGGTGGTGAAACCCTCATTTTTTACATCGATAGAAAGCCCAAACCTCCCTCAATACGAAAATCAAAGTAGTTTTTCAAAAAAACATCTCGGCAAAGCGTAGATCTAGGATGAAAACTTCGACCACATCCCCCTCATTTCATCGGTGGTGGGTTTTAAAACTCAAGAACGACAACATGCAAGCACGTAATGAATCGAAAAGGTAAAAATGATACCTTTATTCTTATTTCTCTTTCGGAAAAAAAACATTTACAAACGTTTCGAACTCTCTGCGTATTTCTTGTGGATTTGTGTAATATGCGTGTGTAATCGTGTGATATTGTTTAAATCTCTCTGTGAATCGTATGAAAATCCTTCCCCCAACCTTAGTCTAGTTACATCATTTTATAGGAATTAAAGTTCTATTTTTAGACTCGGTTATAGAGTCCTAATCTAACTCTAATGCTCATATGTGTTGTTGGTTGTTGGTGGCATGAGAATCGCCAGACAATTCGGTGAGGCATGGAGACTTCGAACAGTACGGCGCTGGGGTACAAGGTGGAAAGTGGCGGGAACATCAGAAACCCTCATCTGCCCTTAGGGTTTCACGTTGGGTCAGACACAAGTGGGCCTGGTTGCTGGGCCATTCTTGGTTTTGTAATAGGTTTCACTTGGGCCTATAAAAAGAGAGAGAAAAAATGTAAATAGCATATAAATTATACAATACATAATATATAGTATATAATCATAGCTTTTTATATTTTTTTATATAAGGACGAAAGATAGTGTCTACAACTACCCCTCTTTGCTTATTATCGTGTAACGAAAATAGAGCAAAGATTAAAAGACACGGATTTCGTCTATATCGAATATCCTCTGTCGTAGAGTTGAAATCCGATATTAAGGCAGGTCTGTCAATTTAAATCACGAAATGACTCCATCGTCGCGAAATCGAGCCCAGCTTGAAATGATATGGGATTGAAGTCGTAGTCTGGAATTTGAATCAGAAATGTGGTTTCTCGTTGCCAAATTGTAGTCAACTTTGGTCTTCTTCTCGGCTTAAAGACCTCGACTGCAACCGGAAAGTAGTGATTGATGTGTCATTGAGCTGAATAGAATCAAACTTGACTATTTTGTTGACAGATATCCCTTTTTGCCTTGAGCTATGCTGCAAATGATGTGCCTTTGAGTTGAGCCTAATCGAACTCGAAGGTCTTGTATTTCAAGAGAAACATTTTCAAAGGTTCTTTGTGTTTCAAGAGAAACTATCTCAAGAGAGAAAAAATTTAGTTCCAAAAGAAACTGTCTCAAGGGAGACAAATTTTGTTTCAAGGAAAATTATCTTAAGAGAGACAAAAATTAGTTTCAAAATAAAATATCTCAAGGGGGATGAAATTTGTTTCAAGGAAAACATATTCAAAGATTTAGTTTCAAGGGAAACTGTCTCAAGAGAGACAAAATTTGGTTCAAGAGAAATTGTCTAAAGAGAGCCAAAACTTAGTTCCAAAAGAAACTATCTCAAGGGAGACAAAATTTGTTTCAAGGAAAACTGATTCAAAGTTTTTGTTTTAAGGGAAACTGTCTCAAGAGAGAAAATTTGTTTTAAGAGAAAATATCTCAAGAGAGACAAAATTTGTTTTACGAGAAACTGTCTCAAGAAAGACAAAATTTTTTTTAAGAGAAACTGTCTCAAGAGAGACAAAACTTTGTTTTGAGTAAATTAGTCTTGAGCGAGACGACCCCTTATTTCGAGAGAAACAATCTCAAAGGTGATCGATAATCTACTTGTTCATGTATGTTAAAGAAATCCTTTCAGAAGCTTTAATCATTGACTTAAGGAAGTCAAATCTGTGGATGTCAGGTTTGCTGTGACACTAAATCACTTCATCGGGCACGATATCATTCTTCGTGAAATTGAAATCGTGGATGACTCATTCATTGTGAAATTGAACTTTTAATTGGATGTCCTTCGTTGTGAAGTTAAGATCCACACTTGTAAATTGCAATTCTTTTGAGTTCAATATCTTTCACTGTGAAGTTGAAATTGACTCTAACATGAATCTGTAAAATTATGCAC